TATCTTCCTTTTTAAAGCACTTTAAAAATTAAATCTTGTAAAATGAGATCCTGATTGAGTGCTTAAGGAAAATACTTCCCCACAACAAACCTCGATTGATTAATAATCAATCTAATACTATTTGTCAACTCGTTATTTTAAATACGACAAGTATTTATAAATCACTATCAATAACTATGTACAATATATTTATTTAATAACGGGGAAGTGAACTGGGAAGTAAAAGCTAGACTGGCGGAAGTAGGTTTACTTTGTCGACATTAATAAATATATTATTGAGCTTAACGTTCGTTATTAACGATAATGGAATCCTTGAACATTATTAGTTATCAAAGTTATGTTGTTACAAATGATTACTTATATTATAAATGTGAAAGTATCTTTTTACACTAAAGTTGAACCGATTTACAGATATGAAGATAGTACACGACCCAGGAAAGGATGTGGGATAGCTTTTACTGTGAAAATCACCGCAAAAAAAAAGAGAGAGTGTTACAATTTTTCTGTCATATAGATATTTTTAATAGTGTTAATTTACTATTAATTTGTATCAATCAATTATGTTATGTGAACAATAAAGAGTTTTGTATTGTATTGTATTGTAATATTTTATAATAATGTAAAAAGAGAGAAGATTGAATATGAAAACTAAGAAAAAAAAAATGTTTACAGGAAATATTAATTCCACGCCGCCAATGCCGCGGGCAAAAGTCAGTAAGTAATAAATTTTATACAGCATCAAATACTTTGCTCAGACTCTGGTTGAGTAATTTCGAAAATTCTGAAGAAACTTTCGTCCGCTGCGTTTTCATATTTCTATGTATGTTTGAAAGAATAACTGGAAACTACTACGTTGTTTTTCATATAAAAATCATAAGGAAGATTTAATACACGTGCATACGGGGGTGGCTAGGCAAATTATTTACTTTCTACTATTAAAGTTAAAAAATCGAATGAATAAAAATTGAAAATTTAATCACTGTGACTAAGCTATTATATCCGTATTTTTCAATAAATTATCATAACACGTGTTTTCATTGCATTTAAGCAAATGTTTAATCAGTATCTATCGAGCAGATTATGTCAAATGTGTGTGTTGATATAATTTACATAGTGCGACTTACTACCGAGAAGGGTATTAAAATTTCTCACGAAGTTTCATGCAAGAATTATGTTTTTAATTTAATGTTTTGTTTTACTTGGTGTTTCTAATCTAAGAGCTTTGTAGCGTACGTCCGCTATGGAGGTAAGGATAAAACTGTACGTTATCTTCAACCTTTTAAATAGTTCTTCTTCCTACGGGCAGCGTTTCCGCGACTGGAAGTCGAAGTACATTGTAAAAATTTGTGATACCTAATACCCAAATTTTTTTCCAAATGAGATTAGATCTAAACTACAATTAGGCTGTCAGAGAAAGAAAGTAGAGCTAAGTTTGGTTTACGAATACAAATCTTCGTAAAAATTATAAAAAGTTATAATGACTCCGTTTATGACAAATATATAATCACAGATAAACGTCATAAATACTTATGTCGCTTATCATAACGTATTTTGTGAGAATTTTGAGAAATTATGTTAGATTATTGTGATTGACATGAATTCCAATAGTTTCCCTTATTTTTGGGACTTTCCCCTTACAAACAACGTGTAAATACACCTATAATGTACGTGCTGTATAACATTATATTTTTATTTGACCGACTTTATCTTTATTAAATGAAATACATGTACCTATCATAAACTGGAAGTTAATAATTTCATTCTAAATGGTTTCCACTGTAGGTATCTTCTTCTCTATTCATAGAGTAAGCTCTGTGTGTAATCAACAATTTTTTAAATTACAATTTTGGAGAATTATATTTTCGTTTCCACTATTCAAAATTTTCATTCAACTGTACTTTTAACTTGAAATTGATTGAAGCAAGATAATTTTATCTTATCAATATTTAATCGACGAATATTTAAGAAAAACATTTCAAATACTGGTAAGAAGTCGAAAATAGGTTGAGATTTACGTCATAAATCACTTGTATAAATAATAAGCATGCATGTGAAGTGACGAGATGATGTGAGAACCTCTATTGTTGGAAGTAAACAACATTATTAAAACTTGTTTTAACGTTCTTCTACAGCATTCACTTAGTTGAAATTCATAATTTACGTTTTAAGGCTGGGCTTAAATATAAAAGATAAAACTAGACGAAGAACGTACCCATCCATAAGATAGAGAAAAAGAATAACAACAAAACAAAACGATATAGGTCAAATATTCATCACTATTTCCTTTAAAAAAGGGAAATTACGAGAAATAATGGAATAAATGGCGAATTTTAGTGGTATATATGTTTATTTTCTATCGCAGAAATTTTATAAATTTCGACACGACTGCAAAAAAACATTTTGTCTCATTTTTATTAATATATAGCTTTTTAGGACATTTTTTCTTATTACACTAGAATGATTTACAGGTTTGCTACCATATATTTACCTTAAATTTATCAAGATACCGATATTTGTACAAAAAAAAAAGAAATTTTGATACTTCTCATTTACGCGCGCCCTTAAACTATATGGAATTTTCAAATTTTGATGTAATATTACCTTGAAATAATACGAATTACCTAGTAATATCTAGAAACAGACTATTAAAATCATTTGTAATAATCACGTTGGTATGTGCGACCTCCGTAGTTGTGGTCTGTAGTTTCACTATTGTTATTATTTCTTCTTCAATCTTCTTTTCAATTCTTATTATACTGTGACTTCGCCCACGAAAATTATAGCCTATATCACAGCTTTCCATAGGAAATAATCGTTTAAATCTAGTTGTTTCGAAGCCTATTCAATGCAAACAATAAATTCTTTTCTCTTAGTAATATTGGTAGAGTTTATTATCCAAATTTTAATAGGAAATGTATGTATTACAGAAAAATAAATAAAGCTACTTTATATAGTTATTACCTATATGATAAATATGTTTATATATATGAATATGTTTAAATGAAAGAATGAAATTTATATGAACTCACAGTTGATCAAACATGAAATTGAATTAATTGACACTTTATTAATACGTACCACAAATAATAGACGTAAATTCGACAATAATGTTTTGAAACCAAGTTTGACACCGAAGTTCCCAGATCTTTGGTTAATGAAAAGTCGGATTTTCTGAAGTTATAATTTATTTAAATAATAATGAACGTATTATTAGACCACATTACACATTGCTCAGATCTCAAATTAAGTCGCAACGCTTGTACTAGGAAATTTGAATCAATAAAGGTATCACGACAAGCAACATGACGACCTCCGTAGCCGAGTGATAAGCCGGTCTCATCTCCGAGGTTCCAGGTTCAAGTCCAAGTGGAAATAATGTAGAAAATGTAGTTTTCTATATTGCTTAGGTTTGGATATTGTGGTTCTAAGGTAGTTAGCATCTGAGCAATGTGTGTGATGTTGTCTAATAGTTAAAGATATGGGTAAAATATAAAAAACTTAATTTGTATATAAACTCGGACGTGAATCGAACCCGGGACCTCAGAGGCTACACCTTAAAACCGGTGTACAAACCACACGAAGGTCGTCGTATTTTTAACATCGTTTCGTCTTTTAATCATTTCCATCTCTATTTACTTGTTCTTACTGAGTCAAGGCGAAACTGGAGATAATAAATTTCTGGTACCTTTTTTTTTATCGTCGAGGAAATGCTTTTGGCACTATCCCTGTTACCTGGCAAGCAACAGGGGGTGTGTGGGTCTCTCCTCCGTGAACCCACTCGGCAGGTGAGCTGCCCAGTGAGTTCCCGGAGGCCTACCCACCAAAACCCCTACGGTGTACCCTCTCGTGGGAGATGAGACCCAGGATGCCGTGACCGAGTCGCCAGGACACTCACCCCCATATTCGACCATTGGTCCCCTCGCGGTTTGAGAGGCTCGGGTACATCGAGAGCCTCTCCCAGACATGCGAAACCGCAATGCAAGGGTGGCTGCTGACCACCTACGCTGGTTCCGACATGGAAGAGGGATGCGTCTGTTTCACGACGGTGCCGTGGGGAACGGATCCCGTGGCAGTGAGCGAAGGGATAACATTGTCGTGCAGAAGACGAGCCTCTGCGCACACCACACATTTGGGCGGAGCACTACACTGCGCAGCCATGTGTCCCATCTCACCGCCACGAAAACAGGTATTGTTCCTGTCCGTTTCGGGGTCGCACATCTGCCTCGTATGGCCAGTGACCATGCACTTATAACATCTCAGAGGCAGTATTTCAATTGCACGAACCTTAGCGGAACTCCATCCGACTTGTAGACGTCCCAGATCTGATAACGTCTTGGCCGCGGTAACAGGGCAACGGACAATTACAGCTCCCAGCCCTCCTGGTCCATATCTGATTTTGCCCACTTTAATGGATTCTGCGGAGCACTCCCCTCTATTTGCTATTGCTATTATAATCTCAGCGTTGTCCACTGAGTCATCCAGTTCTGACAGACGTAAATCAGCGCATTTTGTTGGCCTAGTGATAATGGCCGTATCCTTCAGTAGCACTTTTAATTTGTTAGCTAAAAGATCTGCCTTTTCCCCGCTGGATGATCCAAGAACCTCCAAGATTCTGGCCCCAGTAATTGTTGGTCGTGTTTTTAATCCCTCGATTCCAAGCTCGTGGAGCTGGATCTCTCTTTTTGCCCTTCCAATAACATCTGTATAGGTCGTTCCTAGATCTAGTTTCTCCTGGGGAATCGTGACTACTACTGCCGTTGATTTGGGTGCCTTCAGAGTAAGTTTATTTTTTCCTCTGTTTGATTTTGCTGCCATAGTATTGACAGCTGAAATAGTCGCCACTGAAGGTGTTCCGCGAGATATATGAGTCTTTTCTTTTATTCCCTTGCACCCTTTCGACTCCACTAATATTCAGTCTCCTTCCTTCTGTTTACTTCCAGGTGTTATGTTTTGTACCACGTCCCTGTATGTATCCACTCTTCTTAGCATAGTAGATGTTCCTACAGATGATCTCTCTCGTTTCGTTTATCTGAGATTAACGGAGGCCTCAAAATCTTTTCAGGAGGTAATCTGCTTTTAATCCCTTCTAGTCGAGCGTTTACCATGTTTCCTACTGAGACAAGCAAGTCTGTTGTAAATTCCCCTAACTTTTCATCCATAGTTTCACTCATCCATTTAAGTATGTCTTCTTTCCGTATTTGTCCGTTCTCTTTTGTCTTGCCTTTCTCTTGGCACATGTCCTTCAAACTTACGGTGTCCTTTTTTAAAGTCTCAACTTGTTTCTTCAGGCACACTATGGCCTTTCCTCTGCTTTCCAGCTCCTCCACATTTACTTCTTTTATTCTTCTGCAAAGTCTGGTGTTTCTATCCCTGTCACTCCTTCCTCTCTCCGAGTGCATGTCTGAAATCCTCCCCATTGCCGCCAAGACATATTCAGGTAGTTAGCGGGTTTCTCCACTATTCCCTCACTCTATTTCCCCTGAGCTGTTGTTCTGGGAATGCTGATCCTTTTTCTTTAGATATTTTTCCTTCTCCTTCCTTTTCTTAGTTTGCGTATTCTTCCTTCCTCCTCCTTTTAGGATCCTTTTAGGTTTTGTATTTTTTTCGGTGATATCATCATAATCTGTAGATTCCTCATTTTTTTATTATTTTCCTCATCCATGATCTCATTCCAACAACGTCCCTCAATATCCGAACCCGTTCTCCTTGTGACTGAGCCCGCACGCCCTCCCCTACGAGCCGTAGGAATTTTAGGCGGTTTCTCTGTCACGACTCCGTCCGATTCTTTGTCCGTTTGATCCACGAGTTCCTCCTCTTCTCTCATCCTTTTAGTGCCCCGTGTGCATGACACGCTCCGATCTTATTGAGGTGTTCACGAACGGGGTGAATCTCTTTTTCGGATAAGACTCTCAGTAGAATCCTTTCTTTCTCCCCTCCTTCCTTTTTCCCTTTCACCTCTTTCTCGATCCGACATGGCCGAAGCCACAACACCAAGACGACCACAAGTACGAATAACGCAAAATTTGACAGCAAAAACACAAACCTTTCAACAATACCAAATCGCAAGCCAAGCAGATCCTCTTTCGAGCCAAGCCGCCGGTGAGACAGTCCAAATCAGATGCTCTCTCGTGACGGTACGGGAAAAAAAGACGGTAGATCATTAGCCGGTCACCAGCTGCGTTACCGCTGGTTGAACCTAACCCATCCTCTAACCGGTCCTTTAGAAATTCACAATAAATAAGCCAAGAATAAGCTTCGAAACTATTGAATCAATTTAAAAAAATATATTACCTCTGTCTGTATATATGTATTATATGCTTTAATTAACAAAGAAAACAACTAGTATTCAATTAATTCTCTATTCTGTTAATTAAAGCATAAAAAGACACTAGCAGTAACACTAAAACGGTAACAAGCCAAAGTGGTCGCGTGTCGTTTGTTTGTGGTTTATATGAAAATTTAAGACTGCGAAAGAGATATTTGTTTAAAGGCGATACTTGTCTTCATGGAAATTCTCACCTTGTCAAAGTCTACCTTTCTATTTTTTTTTGTGAATGTTAAATTTTGATATTAACTTTAAAAAAAAACAGTCAATATACACGATCTTTGGTTTTCTTCGATAATATAAAAATTATATCGTATTTTTGTAATTTGATACTAACCATAGTAATATTACAAAACAGGAAAGATTTGTATGTTTATTTGTTCGCATTGAATATCCTAATATCCAAACATGACTGATTTTAAAACTCTATCATCAACGGGAAGCTGCATTATACGCAGGCGAGTCGTGAGAAACAGCTAGTAAGATGTAATAAGAAAGTTCCTATATAAATTAACAATTAAAATGTACCAGGAAAGAATATCGCTTCATATAAAACAGGAAAAAAATAACATGGATATTAATAAAATAAATAACAATTGTACAATATCGAATACATTGCCCCGACCTTAATATATATTAATAAACCTCAATTAATAATGAAACGATTAAGATATGTAGGTATATAATCCATAAATTAAAATCACTCAGAGTAAAGATACTCTTAGTTCATATAATTCATCTCGATTAAAATTGAACACGGTTGGGTCTTTTCATTTTTAACTGACTTCAAATCAAAAACACAAAGAACATTGAAGCTAGTCCAGCTTCAATGTTCGTCGGGTATGAATTTTTTATGTATAATTAGGAATCTAATGAGTAATTCTAAAAAACCCACTTGCCCCAGGCACCCTGCGATGGAACTCGAACCCGCGACATTTCGCAATGCGGGCGACTGCTCTAAGCACTGAGCTACCCAGTACCTAATAGGATTGAGGAATTTTCTGAGCACTTGTTACTTTTCGCCACTAGTGAGCGTATTTTCGTCAATGTCCAGGCTATCCACCCAAACAGCCGAAAGAAATATTTTTAAACTTTTGATTAAGATGAAAATTTGTTCTAATTATTATATTTTGATTAATTTTTATTTTTGGGTATGTTGGCTAATTATGCCAATTTCTCCTATTCTTCTAAAAATAGATCTTATTTCACCTCAAGCCCATTTGCGAATTTATAGAAAGCAAATTTATGAGCCTTAGGTCGTCCCATAAGAATTTTATCGACATTTGATTAGCGATTTATTTTTATGATATAAATTTAAATAAAATTTTAAAAATACCTAGAAACTGCCAAGTAACGAAAATACTTATATTTTATTTATTCATCGAAGTAAACAAAAGATCGCATATTTTACTTTCCTGTTGTTTTTTTACAATTAGTAACAAATTTTAATACAATAGTTATATCGCAAAAAATAATAAAACTTATTTCAAAATAAAATAACCCACTTCAAAAAATAAGGCTCATCTTTTCATGAAACTGCTATTGTAATCAAGTAATTGTCATTAATATTAACAACTACGTAAATATTCCATTCGATTTTAACAGAATTTCCATAATAATAATAGAACAACTTTTTAAATGAATATATTTCATCGAGCTTTTTGAAACAAGATTACTTTTTTTTTTAACTTTTATTTTATCGCACAAGCGATAATCATCTTGGAAAAAATCCTTTTCGATGGTGAAAGCCGCTGTGGTTTAGAAGAAAAAGAAAGCTCACTTACAGATAAAGCACACCAAGTTACCGCTCCCACTTTAATAAAAAAGACAATATTTTATAAATTATGCCGTTGAAATCTTTTACTTGAAATATATAACAAGACAATTTAAATGTTACATGAAATAAATAAATGTGTATTTTCAGTTCTAAAACAAATTATTACAACAGTTGCTATTATATAAGAATCATGTTAAACAAATTTAAAATTTTCTGATAGCTATTGAAATGTTTTAAAATATAGCGTTTGAAAAGGAAAAAAAAATTAAAAAGGTATGTAGTTGTTCTGTATAATTATAAATGCTATTTTGTTTTTAATAAATGAATCACAAAAAGAGTACGTATTTATATTTTTTCACTATTGTAATAAACTCTTTCTGACAAAAAAGATTCATCGTTATCGAACAACAAACAAAAGATAAATATGTAGAAGTCTGCAATAGATCTTTAAAAACTACACAGGGGATTTTAATGAGATTTTCATTAATACACGACAGATTAAAGAGGATGATTTATCTTTATAATTAAGCCGCTGACAAAGCTAGTTACTGAAAAAAAAAAAAATTTTAAGAAAAACAATAAATATTACGTATATTAGTATCAATTAACCCATCTCATTTGCTTATAAGGTAACCTCTAATAAGAACGTCTTGCTTTTCAATTGCAGAACTACAGAATTAAACTAACCTAAACGAAAACAATTTAATCAGACAGGTAACACGCACCGATGGTAATTATTACGATGCGAGGCCAAGAAAAATATATTTCCGAGCTGATAATGATAAGACACAGCGTACAGGCGCGCATGCGTGAAATATCTTCAATGAACCTATTTAGAATTTGCCCGCGTCAGAAGTAGAACGTGGTAGCAAAGCACGCGATTTTTAGTTAGTTTCGTCCGGACCGGCGCGCGAGGTGGACTTACGCACCCTCGTTTGAAAACGAGCTGAAACTCGCTGAACACATCCAATGTGTATACAATAAATTTTTTATCAAACAAAATGTGTAAAACTCAGTGTTTACTCGCGGCGATCTCGCTTACAATCGGCCTAGTTAACGCATGGGGTGAGTAAAATCAGCTGACTAAAAAGAAAACACGTGGTTTGTTTTTTTCTCTGATAACCGTTACATAATTGTCTTATATGAACATCAGATGATTTTCGGTCGTCGACGTCGCAATTTTCATTGAAAATTATAGGTATTCAGCTGGTGTCAATAGGGTCGCGATTCGCGTGGCAACTCGGCGCCATTGCACGAGGGCCCTGAGTCACGTAGGCCACTGCGAAAACCCAACCAAGTTTAAGCGATTCCCAAACTTAAACCGACGCGTCTATTACGCGACCAGTACAAATAACCAGTGTTACGTTTTTCTGAAAACTGGGAAATGTTGCTTGCGGCTTTTGTGGGAAAAACGTATGTTTTGAGAGTACTGATACTGGAATTTATTGTATGAAAACATTAATATTTTTTTTAATCGATGCATTTTAAAAAATGAAAGTTAGTTTCACATCGAAGCTTCTTTTATAGTACCTATAAAATGCAAATTTCGACAGATGGCAGAAATCATTAGTTTTGTAAGACACTTATATCTACCCACAAAATTATTATTTACAACATATGTGCAAACAATTGATTAATATACAGAAAATTGCTAAAACACGTATTACCGTCAGAATGAAAATAATTTAAATGTCTTTTTCTAGCTAAACAGGTGTTACCGAGAATTTATAAAATAACAAGGACGACGCAATTCTGTTTTATATAGCAAAATTTTGCCGTCAACAATTTGCCTTTAGATATTGACATAAAACATAAATAAATAACGTAACTTTTTTCAATTGAAATATCAATTATTATAATTTATACTGTTATAAACAGTCGGAAAACAGATTAATTAGGTACTTACCATCATGATAAATATTATTTTAATGAAACTTAATAGATAAACGCTATAGTTTTCAATTTAAATAGAATAAATTTTTCTTTCAACGATATTATTATTTATATACATACACTTTAACAATGCTACTTATAAACAAGGTTTAGCGTTGGAGTAAATTTACGCTGAGACTGCTCTTCGTATTAGTCCAAATTCATATTATTAAACAGACTTATAAAAGGGTAACTTAGTTCTACGGGAGTAATATTTGCTTCTAGAAGGTAGTAGATTTGCTTATTCTGTGTGTAATATGAATATGGACTAATAATAAAATTGCAATATTAGCGTAAATTTACTCTGACGCTAAATCTTGTTTATAAGTAGCACTGTAAGTGTTTACATACATAATCCATCGTATTTTTTTTTAATAAAATAAATTGCAATTGTTTATAAAGCTTTTAATTTAAATAAAACAGGTTATTTTTAATAGATAAGTTAATAAAACAGCAATAAAGATTCAAGTGGTGGTCTGAATAAAATTAAAATAATTTTAAATTTTATTCTAAATTATCATAACTATTGAGGTTTCAAAACTCTCAACAAAAAATGTAAAAGAAACTTTTATTAATATGAGGTATTTAAGATCCTTCTAATATAATTAATGCGCAAAATTATGAGGATGTATGTATGGCTGTTACTTTTTCACGCAAAAATACCTACCTAGTTTTTGATGAAATAAGTTGTTGTACCACTCTCTAAACTAAAATGAACTAAAAATACTCTTAATGAAATATCCCTGGCATTCATTAACAATGTTTTTCAGTATAGCATTGTGAATGCAAATTTTATCTAATACAAAAACAATTTATGGAAAGTTTTAATATTTGTAAAAATATTAATTCGGCTGTTTGGGTGGATTTGCTTGAGCATTTATGAAAATACGCTTTGTAGTAGCGAAAAAGCAACAAGTGCTTGAAAAATTCGTCAGTCTTGTTAGGTCCTGGGTTTCTCTGTGGTAAGAGCAATGACTTGAATTATGAAAGGTCATGGGTTCGAGTCCCATCTCGGAGAGCCAAAGACAAAATAGATTTTTAAACATTTTTAATTAAGATTTTTTTTCAATTATATTTTGCAATCACAATGATTGCAAAATTGATCAAATATAATAATTTGAACTAAATATGTAAAAAATAAATTACTTATGACGCCATAACTTAGTGAAATGAAGTCGAAAGGTCGAACAAACAAAACACTTAAAAAGTCTCTTATTTAATTAAAAATATTAATTTTGTACCCACAAAATTTTGCCAGATCATGATTACTATTACAGTTAATACGTCTTCAACCATCTAACTAATTTAGATAAAACAAAACATGAACACTAATCTACGTTTTTCGGCGAAAACTTCCTTTTTTTCATTCCGTCCAATGAAAAAAAACTTTAATATACGAGTAAAATAAACAAGTCTGAAGGACGATGACTTATATCAGTAAATTTATTTTCTTTGATCAATACTGCAATCACAATGGTATACTGATAAATATCTTTAATGAAAAATGATACCCGGAGGTGGGACTCACACCCACGGATTGCGAAAGATTGTGGGTTCGAGTCCCACCTGTACCTGGGGATGATGGATTTTTTTAAGCATTTTTCATTAAAGTTAATAAAATTTATTCCTACTATACTTGGGGATGATGGATTTTCTTAAGCATTTTTCATTAAAGATAATAAAATTTATTCCTACTATATTTCTTCTTTTTATAATAAGCTAGATATTATTTCGTTTCTTCGAAACAATTTGCGTTCTAAGGCTATAGATAATTATTGTTGTTTATACTTAAATAATAATTAATGATTGTTTGTGAAATCTGCCGATGTAAATGCATAATTCGTACGGATTAATTTATGATTGGAGATCTGTTTACCTTCATAACAGCATAATAATTTTGTTCTTTATCTTTATATTACATAAACTTAAACTTCCTAAGTTGATATCCTTTAAAATAATAATAATGACTATGGTGGTAGCAGCTAGCAATAATAACAATAGAATTAGCCGATTAGGTTTTTGTCTGACAAACAACGTTGTCGTCTAGGTTTATGTTTTACGTTGAGATTGATATTTGAAATTTCAAACGTTCAACATGACGACTGTTAAAATTCCGCTATAACGTAGAATAAATTTGTTTGCCGATACTGAGGTGCTTGTTTCATATTATTTAGATGATGGCACTAACACTATTGAATTTGTTTTTTTTTTATTTTATTTCCGGCATTAAAATATGCGAAAGATAACTTTAATATTTAATAAATTTTGCATTCTCAATGCCATAAATATTTATTCTATACATCTAGAGCCAAGTAGTGGATCCGCCAAGACAAGCCAAACGTAGTGCAAAGGCACTACCTACTTTTCTTCCAAGGGCTTCATCGGTGAATAAATAAATAATTTAATATGTTTGGTGAGCGCTGTGAATTTTACGAAACTTTTGGGAATTAATAAAATGGCTATATTTGTTAAACAAAATTTGGTACTGATTTATTTTTTTATTTTTGATTTATGATTATTATTTTCGTAAGGATGAATTTTTAGAAAGTTTTAACCAACGATTAGAGAGAGATACGTGAGGGAGCTTTATTTTTTTTTGTAAATTAGCTACATGGATAACAAAAAAATTATTATAACAGATCTTGTTTATTTAAACTAATCAATATTAATTATTATATGTTATCTCTGTAACAGAGGTTAATGCATAAAAATAACACGCTATCTAAGCTAGAGGAAATTATAACCATTAAATCCCAGATGTAGAGGTTTGCTTGATCACACTAACTGTGGTAATTCAGTGCCAAAATGTTAGGACCTCAGCATGAGTTCTGGTTATGGAGGTTTCACACTTATCCAGGTTCCACTTAACCTATTTAAACTGTATTAAATGAGAGAGGATATGTTGGTTTGACCCAATGACTAAAGACATTTTCTCTCAAACTCGTGTCTTCTTTGATTGATGAAGATGACGGTCACTAACACCCACACACCATTTCCATAATCGATTAAGTGAAAGGCTGCTAAGATATACAAATGAATTTTTTTAATTTATTGATACAAGAATTAACTAATTATTTGTGTCTTTCAAATAATTACACTATTATTTATCAACGTCCAACACTGCAAGGAAATGCGATTGTGCAATTTTTATAATAATATAAATGGCCGCGATTTTTTAGAGAGAGGTCACTATCCGCACATGTCGTTACCGGTCGAGTCTTAAAAAAAAAAGAATTTGGTACACAAACGTAATTGTTTCATTCAGCCTAAGGCCGCATTTGAAGGATCTCGCAAAAAATTGGCACAAGTACGTTATCTTGATTAATAATGAATATATATTTATTAGAATATTTACTTCACCTCACATTTTATTGAAACCGACCGTGCCCTAGTTTATGCACGATATTGTCTGCAACATCATTGTCATGATGACAATAGGAATCAAAGGTTGTTGCGATTGCAATGATATTTCTACGAAAAGAAGGCGTGAATTTTTTCTAATTGCCTACTAAATGGTTCAATTTAAAGTCCCCGTGGACTATCTGCACGCTATAATAATTTTCACTGTAATAGCGTTAATGAGGAAATATATTTCATTGCGTGCTTAACTCCTGAAGGTTGACAACTATAACAACCTCTTCTATGTATTTGGGAACGATATGGTGAATTTAAAATAGTATTTTTGCTGTGCCAGAGATAATTTCTACTGGCTGTTATGTTTCTTGGGTCCAATTATAAGATTTTGGAGATGGTGAAAGCACTTTCGAATATAACTATCCTTATCAAATTAATATGTGTATCTAAAATACATATAATATGTTTCCTATTTAATTTGTAGGATTTCTTGGAAATAAAACTTAATTGCATTGCTCTGAAAGATAATTGTTTATTGAGTAACAAACGTTTACAATTTTTTTTTAAAATCTTATAGCTACAAATATTACCTGTAAAATTTCACTAATCTCTTTTATATTTAGCTTAATAAACTTAATAATAATAAACTGCTAATCATAATTTCAAAACGTAACCATATTACCACAAAGATACCACAAACTAAATCGCAAAACGTCAATACAGTCGCGTGGTAGTTTCAATAAAGTACTGTTTATTTACATAGATATCTTAGGCATAAA